ATCTTAGTTAGACAAAACATTAGTTAATAAAAAGAGAAGAAAAATAATGTACAAACAAATGTATCAATGGCCAAGACTGATCTGAAATTTCGAATTATTTATTTTGTTTAGGATCTCTCTTCTCATTTGATTGTGATTTGTGATTGTGAATCTCTTAGATCTTTGGAGTTTTTTAATGGGAAAGTGATTTCAGGATTTAAAGCTTAAAATCATATAATGATAGATGGTTCTGATATAATTGAGTGAAAAACTCAAAAACCCGAACTAAAACAACAACAATGGTGAAAAAAAAAGAAATCAGCGGAAATTAGGGTTTGGATATCGCAGAGGTGAGGAAGGAGATGAACATAAATTTAGGAAGATAATCTAAAGTTTTAGGAAAACTTTTCTAAAATGTATAAATTAAGGAAGTCATTACATGTATTTATGAATGTCTTCGTAAATCATATAATTGATTATTATTTTTGTTAATTTATACAACTCAAATTCAAAAAACCCTTCCAGGAAGTCTTTCCACAATTCAGGAAACCCTTCCACAATTAAGGAAGTCTTTCCACAATTCAGATTTTTTTAAAAAATTAGGAAAACTTTCCTAAACCATATGAAACGATGTTAAATTCTAGTATTTGGAAGACTTTTCCTAAAAAAATCACACAACATTAATAGAAAAAAATATTTAGGAAGACTTTCCTAAAGGATAAAATCGGAAAACTCAAATGAAAAATGTTAGGGGTGGAAAAATTTTAGCTTCCCTGTTATATTTGTCCTGAAAACTTATTTTCAGTGTAATTATAGAAATTGCTCTATGTAATATAAGTATATTTGCGAAGTCTACTAGAGAAGTCTAATCGAAAAGTCTACATATAAAGTCTGACAAAGAAGGCTGCATATGAAATCTGAATATGATAAACATACATAATTTAAGAATATGATCAATAACATTCAATGCAATCTAACATTTCCTATAAAATAGACCTTCTAAACAAACAAGAAACATTTAAGGGTCATTGATTATAAATCTTAAAATTGGCATATAAAAACAATGTCTGAAATAGATGTATGTGACTGAAGTCTGCTAGAGAAGTCTGAAGCTGAAGTCTGCTTCTAACAAAACCAAAAGAGAAATAAATAAGCTCAGATCTGCACAATAAGAAAAAGAACCTTTGACAAACTTATCCTCATGTATGTCTTGGATCAAGTGATCAAGTGCTGGGTCTTCTGCTTGATCTGGCCACATATGAAATAGCTCTCTTACATCATCCTTCATAACCATTTTACTCACACGCACCTATAACATAAGTGATTATGAAACCCATCAGTAAATTTTAACTCAATCATCAATAGGTATAACTCAGACATCGCTATGGCATAACTCAACCACTAATAAACCATAACTCAGCCATCACTAAAATATAACCCCCATCACAAACCATAACTCAGCCATCAATAAACCATACATCAGCCATCACTAAAAATATAACTCAGCCATCCAAAAATATAACTCAGCCATCACTAAAATATATCTCAGCCATCCCAAAAATATAACTCAGCCATCATAAAAATATAACTCATCCATCACAAAAATATAACTCAGCAACCGTATGTAAACTAACTCAGCCATTATTCAAAACATAACTCAGCCATTAAATATCATAACACAACCAAAACCTTACCTCACCATACGTTCTGATATCTTCAGCAATGGTTGATTCCATTGTTGAACGTGTACGGTTTCTACCCCATCGAAACAACGATATCTCATCATTATTGACCATTTTCCCAAATCGCTCTCCAAAGCATTTGACTGAATCATACGCCCAAGCCTGTAACACATAAACCATACCATTAATGGTGTACGACTTTCCTATAGGCTTCAACATCTTTATAGCATCAACAAGATTTTCAAATGCTGACCGACCCCATGGATAAGTCTTCATGTCTTCATCATCAAAAATTCTTTTCGTACTTTCGAATGGTATTCTAGAATTATGATGCAATCCATAAATACCAATGGCTTGAAGAAGCAACAGCCCCAACCATTTACGCTTTTGAGGAGGCCATGCCCGGCACACTGATAATCCTGCCCTAAGTTCATCTAACTTTGGTCCTTCCCCACCAGGCACATTCAATTCTCTGAAGAACATTCTGTAGTCAGCTTCAGGTTCAAACATCTCTGTAGGCATCAGATCTGTGTTTAAACCCGTGATATGACCAAATTCATTCAAACCAAACCTGATAGGTTGACCACCGACGAGACACCAAATCTCCTTCTTATATATTCTCAACTGTCTACATAGAAGATAGTGTACAGTCTTACCAGACCACGTGAATTGGCTATCAGATAGCTTAGCAACTATTCCAATAGGTAACTCCTTCATTTGATCCCACACATCTTGACCTATTGATTCTCTAATCCCAGGGAGATCTGCCATCTTAAAATTATGGTTAATGGATTTATTCTCCAAATTAGACTCTCCTTCTGCGTAAAGTCTTGGAGGGTAATCCCTTGCTTGTTCTTCAGAAATAACCTTAGCCATCTCATAAGAAAGTTAAAATCAGCTAGAGTATAAATCATAACTCAACCACACCATAAAAAAAAACTCAGCTACAAATGCATTGATAAACCGTAAATCAGCCGTAAGGCAAACCGTAACTCAGTCTCAACGTAAAACAAACCCAGCCACAGATGCATTGATAAACCATAACTCAGCAGTAAGGTAAATAGTCACTCAGCCGCAACATTAAATAAACTCAGCCACAGATGCATTGATAAACCATAAATCAGCCGTAAAGCAAATCGTAACTCAGTCGCAACATAAAACAAACTCAGCCACATATGCATTGATAAACCAGACATCAAATCGAGTAAATCTAACAAATCAGCCACCCTATGTAAATCAACGACGGCGAAAATCAGCCGCAATAAGCATCGATAAAAAACCCTTAATATCACCGCGATAGGTTTTGGAAAACGGTTTAAATCACGGGAATCACATGCAATTAAACGGTTAAACTCAAAAAAAATATTCGAACTTACCGGAGCACGTTTGTTCGTGAAAAAAGAAAGACGAAAACATAGATTTTTAGCAATGGGAACTCAGAGTCCACTCTCGAAAACGAAGAATCCCCACTCGAGTTCGTGAAAAAGGAGACGAAATGCGACGGAGAAGCGGCCGGAAGAGACGATACGACGGTGGAATTAGGGTTCGACTTCGGAATCGCCAAGAGAGATAGAGAGGGTTTTTTTCGTAACAAAAGAGAACGATTCAGTTTCTCTCGCTTTTGATCATTAATGACATAACTGTTGTTAATGACGTGGATTTTTTTTTTCTTAATGATGTGGATTTTTTTTTTTCTTAATGCCGTAGATTAAACTAATTTTTCGTTCATCATTTTTTAATTAAAAAAAATGCAAATTAAATAGGGGTGTTAATTGTAATTACATAAAGGCACAAAATATTTGAGTAATTTTTAAAAAATGTATAATATACTAGTAATATTCCAACTTTTCTGTAACATCTAAATAATTATTTCTACTATTTTTACAACTAACTTTTCCAAAATAGCTACGTTAGCTAATTAACTTTTAAAACAATTTGGAAGTTTCAGTTGAAAATTGGTGGAAAGTAGGAGACCTATGATGGGATTTCCTCCCGTAAATGAGAATTAGTTTGAACCTATGAAGACAAGAATGTAAGTTGTGACATACCCTTTATTTATTTATTGAATTTTGTGACCCGTGAATGTGTGTGTGAGTCAAAGAAATAGCGCGTATTGGGGAAAGAAAGAGATGGAGAGAGGAAAAAAAAAGAAAAACAGAAGAAGATGCTGTGTAATGCGAAGCACAACATCCACATGCTATGTTTGCCGTAAGCAACTTAGCATCCTATACCTCTTACTACGACTTTCATTTAGTTTTTATCTTCATCATGAAATGTTTCCATTAACAATTAAAGTGTTAAAAACACACATCTTGTTTTCTTTTTAGCGTGGCCGTGTTTGAAAACTATAAAATCAAGACAGATTGCTATGTACTATGATAAATTCAGAGTTAACTTTTGATAAAAAAAAATTGTTCTTATCAACAAGAAGAATTCTAGACTGAAACCCAAATTAATCTTATGAAATCTATAACAATCTAGAATCTTCTTACCATTAAAAACGTCTATAGGTGACTAAATATGATCAAGATGATTAAAATCGTATTTGAAAGAGTATAAATTTCCAAAATCAAAACACTTATAATATACATTCGACTATTGAACCACTACCATTTGGTTAACTTTTGTTAGTTAAAAAAAACAAGTGAAACTATAGATTATCAAATGTTTTATATATTGCATGTTAGATTAATTATGAATCAGTTGGGAATATTGCCATTTGTAAATTTGGATTCAAAACTCTGTAAGTTTAAAATTTTAAATATCTAATATTCCAGTCTATTAATTTTTATATTTTTTTAACTAAACTTTGATCTTATTTCTTTTCTCAAATACAAGATAACAAGTATTTAAAATATTAGTATAACTTCAGTTACCAAAAAAATAAAAATATTGGTATAACTTCTTGTTTTTTTTTTCCAACAACGTACTACAAATTCTAAATCTAGATGATATCACATGAAGAATAATGTACTTCTGATTTTAGATGAAGTCTCAAATGTAAACGATATAGGATCCTTAAGAAAGATACTGACTACAGAGTATATTTAATCAAAAGAAAATAGATACCGAGTATATGAAATTCTGAAGCATTTAACTATTGTCTATCCTTACTCTGTTCATTCATTAATAATAGGATGTTCAGAGTTCAGACTTGTTTGGATGGCAGAAAATTAAACTGATAAAGAAAAGCAAAAAAAAAAGAGAAAAGAAAATAAAAACACAAAAGTTAGCAAAAGAACAAACAGCAACAGCTGTCACTTTCCTCTATTAGTTATTCTCTCTCCCTCTCTCTCTTTCTGTAAAAAATGATATCAACAAACCCTAAATTAGGAAAGCAAAGAAACAATTAAAGCAAGCAAATCATATCTCAAGTTAGTAAATAGCTTTTATCATTTTACTCTTCTTTTTCCTCTTTCTCTCTCTTATTGCATTATTGCAGCAGCAGCCAACACTTGTTGTCTCCGCTTTCTCTTGCTAAACCCATCTTCTCTCTTTTTTACTTGTTAATTTCATTTTTATGTATATTTCGTTTTTCTCTTTTGGAGTTTCTTCTACTGACTACTGCTGGTAGGTGCATGGATTTGGTAAGGTTTCTCAACCTTCAAATACCAAAACTTTTAAATTTCTTTTCTTATTCTATGACTATAATTTTATGAATTAACCATGTTTCATCTTTCTTTAATCTCTCTTATATTGCATTTTTAAATTATTGCTTGGAAGCTAGTAGGAAAAAAAGAGAGCTTTTATAATGAAGTGAAACTTAAAACCGCAAGTTTATATTTGTTTTATATTTTTCTTGTTTTGCTTTCTTCCCATTTCATGGGATCTATTCTAGTTATATATTTCTGCACTTCCCATTTCGTTTTTTCAGTACAATAAGCTTGCCCATTTTGGGAATTTTCTTTTAAAAAATATCAAAATAGAAAATTGGAAAATAGAGTTGTGTTAGCTTCAACTGAAAATTTCTTTTAAAACCTTTGTTTGTATTGCTTTTGCTTTATGTTTCGCCAAATTATCCCAATTATATCTGAAATTTCTTGTAAAACGAGAAAAAGCATTGTAAGATTTTTGAACCAGCTTTCTGTTTCTGAGTTCAGAGCATCAAATTTACTTATGTCTTTTTTCTTCATATGTGTTCAAAATTGAAGTTTAATCTTTTTGTTAGGGCTCTTAATTCGCCAACTGAAATTTTATCTTCCGCCAAATTATCCCAATTATGTTAAACTTACTGTAAATGAGAAAACTAGAGAGTCCTTTGTTAGGTTTGTGTTCCGAGCATCAAAAGTGCTTCTCTTTTCTTCATACATGTTAAAAATTGAAGTTTAATCGAGTTAAAAATTAAATCGATTTCGTGTTTGAAAATTGATTTTGCTATAAATTTAGATTAACAATACCAAAAGGAGAAATTTTGAGACTGGCTTGTTTGTGTGTGTTTCTTGTTTATAGTGAGCGAAGAAGAAGAAGAAAAGACACAACTTTTGAATGGATTGGAACTTCAGACTCAGCTCCGGTTATTTACCCGAATTCGATCAAGAATCTGTACCGGATTTAACCCAGATCGATGGCTCGATCTCATTTGGTGGGTCATCATCATCACCAAGATTGCAGCCAAAAGGGGATTTCTCATTTGATCTGAAACTTGGAAAAAACATTGGAAACTCCTCATCCTCTGCTTTTTGTAATACAGAGCAAGTGATAAGTCTTAGTAAGTGGAAAGAGAGTACAATGGCAAAATCAGAGGCTTCAAGAAGCTCTTCATCGTCGAAGAGGACGAGAGGGAATGGTATTGGGAATGGGAACAACCAGATGCCCATTTGTTTGGTTGATGGATGTAATTCTGATTTCAGTAATTGTAGAGAGTACCATAAGAGACATAAGGTTTGTGAAGTCCATTCAAAAACTCCCGTGGTTACAATCAATGGCCATAAGCAAAGGTTTTGTCAACAATGCAGCAGGTAATTGATATAAAAACCTGATTTTTTTGGGTTTTCCGGTTAGAGTAGGTGTTAAAAGGTTAAGCATTTTGTTAAAAAATTGATAGTATACATTGTGTATGTATCAGGTTTCATGCCTTGGAAGAGTTTGATGAAGGGAAGAGAAGTTGTAGGAAACGTCTTGATGGACATAATCGAAGAAGACGGAAGCCTCAGCCCGATCATATCGCCGCTCGTCCTGCAAACTTCTTCGCCGGTTTCCAAGGTTCTTGTTTTTTTAAAGGTTTCATGAATCCAAATAGACTTAGTTTCTTGTTTTTAAGGTTCAGTTGTTTGTAAGGTTTCTTGGATCCCATAGACTTAGTTTCTTGTTTTGGATCTAATAGACTTAGATTCTTGTAGGTTTCTTCTTGGATCCAATAGACTTAGTTTCTTGTTTTAAAGGTTTCTTGGATCCAATAGACTTAGTTTCTTGTTTTTAAGGTTTCTTCTTGGATCCAATAGACTTAGATTCTTGTTTTAAACGTTTCTTCTTGGATCTAATAGACTTAGTTTCTTGGATTCACTAAACTTAGTTTCTTGTTTTTAAGGTTTCTTGGATCCAATAAACTAATTCCTAACTAATCAAGAAGCATCATTTTGTTTTCAGGTAGTAAATTTCTGGAGTTTTCAAGCGCTTCACATGTGTTTCCAACTACATCTGTCGTGAGCCCGAGCTGGGGAAACGGTCTTGTAAGCGTCGCTATGGCCAATGGTTCGGGTTACGGGCAGAACCAGGGTTATGCTTGTTCTTCTCCTGCAAAGACAGGCATAATGTTCCCAATCTCTTCTTCTCAAAACAGCAGAGGGAAACAACAATTCCCATTCTTGCAAGAAGAAGAGAGCTCGAGAACAGCATCGTTGTGTGAGAGAATGACGAGTTGCATCCATGACTCTGATTGTGCTCTCTCTCTTCTGTCATCCTCTTCCTCATCAGTCCCTCATTTGCTTCAGCCGCCACTTTCTTTGTCCCAAGATGCAGTAGAGACAGTTCTTTACGGGTCGGGCTTGTTTGAGAATGCGAGTGCGGTCTCTGATGGATCGGTTATATCTGGTAATGAGGCTGTGGCTCTTCCACAAACGTTCCCGTTTCACTGGGAGTAGTAGTAGAAGAAGAAGTAGATAGATAGAATCAGAAAGATGTTTGTGTGTTCCTCTCTGTCTCTCTTCTCTTTCTCCCTCGTTTTTCATTGTTTCTATATCATTTGTTCTTGTTAAATGCTGAATTGTGGATGTTTAATGACATTCGATTAGCTAATTTGTAGGTTGTATTGGATTAGCAGCTAAGAGTTATGTACACATCCCATTCCCTGTACTATAAAAGTCATAAATCATATAAAGAATTTTTAGAACCACTCTAAACTTATGTTATTTTAAACATTTTCAAATCTATATAAACTTATGTAGTTTTGAAATATGTCAAATATTCCGAATATGATTTTTTCCAAACTTCTTTACATAAGATTTGTTCTCTTGTTCTTATTTGAAAATTTACAAGATGATAAAAGATCAAGGGTATGATCTTATATGACTAGTATAGAGAGAACCGAATAGCCGACAAGGGTGGTTTACTTGGGGGACAAATGGTGCGACTGCCCCGGGTCCATCTCCCAAATCAAATAATATTAAGGTAATTTTAGGGGCCAAATTTGTGTTTTTATCAATTATTAGGGGTTAAATTTATATTTTTTTTTTATCAATTATTAGAGTCTAATTTTGTGTTTTTATCAACTATTAAGGGCCAAAAAATTTTTGGCCCAGAAACTATCAAAAATATTGAGCCAGCCCTGATAGCTGGCCAAACGGCTTTCTCTATTTGGATCCAGTACGAATAGTGTATGGAATGATGGGGGTGGAGATCAAGTAACTGGTCACATGGTTCTCTTTACTAGATTGGATGGATGAGATGGAGTAACGAAGTATGTGGATCGAAGGACAATACAAGATTGATGGTTCGATCTTGATAAGTCGATGAACTCAAGAATCAAGGGGTAGCCGCACAAGACTCTATGAACCATGTTAGATTAACAGAAAGTTCTCTCTTTATTGAGAATATGTAAAAACGTGAACTATAATGTTGCATATGGAACTTTATTAATAGCTCTCCGACTTTGACTTTTTAGGGTCTAAATTGAAATAAAAGCAAGATCAAAAATACAAAGAAAATAAACTAAAAAATTACAAGAGTTATTCTAAAAATTTCTAGAAAGAAACTAAGAATAAATCTCTACAAAACAATAAAAAAACACGAGATATAGAATTAAATGACAAATACTTACCGTGTCTTTTGCTTAGCCCATAAATATAGTAAGTACTTTCTCACCACGTTTATTTAGGCTGGGTCGTTTTGAACCGACATGATGATGAACAAGGTTGGGCCAAGGTTAGTTTTGAGAAGGGACCATTCATCTAAGATTGAATCTATCTTGAGCATGGGGAGGCTTTGAACATCTTGGTTTTGTTCTAAGTGTTGGCCTGTTTGCTTGTTTGACTCACCGGTCAGTTGTCCCCTAATGCATGCCATAATGCTCTCGTCTGTGGTACAAAGTTGGTTTGAAATGCTCTCGTCCCGTACCATCATGCATGTCGTAAGCATGCCATAATGCTCTCGTCCGTGGTACGAGGTTGGTTCGAAATGCTCTCGTCCTGTCCCATCATGCATGTCGTAATGCTCTCCTCCGTGGTACAAGGTTGGTCCATACCGTGATTGATAATGAGCAGATTGAGTATAATGCTGATGTCTTCTGTCTTCATAAGGTTGATGAGATTTTCTATAGCTTTGTTAAAATTTTCTCATGATTTTTGTACCGGACCGGATCTTTGATGGTTCACACATGGGGATCTTGATGTGTTTTGGTTGATCCGTATTGAGGTCCTCATCACAAAAGATATTGAAGATTTGTAGTAAACCATATGTCAATAGGTCCTCTAGCCTTTCATGACACATCGGTCTCAAATAATATTAATAAAATTTTATATATGTAGAAATAGTAATAAAATATTATTACAAAAAATCAAAAATAAATAAAAAAAATACTATATTTTTTATAGTTTTGATTTGATGTTTTTAATTTAATTGTTTTTTATTATAAATAATTAAATTTATTTTTGTATGATTTTTAATAGGGTAATTCTTATATATGTCTCCTTATTAGGTTTAGTGGACGAAATCAGAACCTATGTATAGTCGTCGTATTTGAGTATAATTTCGTCCACTAAACCTAATAAGGGTCTATATATAACAATTACCACTGTATAGGCGGCGAGGAGGACCACTGTATTGAAGGTTCCGAGTATCTACTTCAACATCTTTGGATTGTAATTCGCTGCAAACGCAGATCGAGGATTCAAATTGCAGATTCGTCGCAGACGTAGATCGAGGCAAAGGATGAGTACGAGGGTGCCTAAGAGGATTAGGATTTGAGATACGTCGCATACGCAGATCCAGACGGAGGAATGAATTGGAATCAGATTGCAGCTTCGGATTGCAGATCCAAACAGTAGAATCAAATGATCCGTAGGTTGACGAATGTAATCCCCTTATTGAAAATGTAATCTAGCGATTTAAAATTGACAATGATATTGACAATTTATGAAGCATTTCAGGAAGGATTCATGATAGTTTGTATCTATGAATTGATTTGTTTTGTAGTAAACTGAAACCGTATGAGCAAATCAAGATAACTTAAAACCGTATGAGCAATGCTAATGAAATGGGTTGATCAACTAACAAATTTAAGCATTGGAATTCAAATTCCAATAGCAAAACTTTCATGAATTGTTTTGTGTACTGTTTGAAATTGTTTTGGTCTTCATTTGAACCATTTGAAAAGCGGGTCTCGCACTAGAGACTTAAACAATAGGAATAAATCCAAAAATCGTAGTTTAGGATTATCATCCTAAATTTATTTTATCAAACTCTTTGTAGTTGTGTGTGGTGTTTCCAATTGGCAAGCATTTCTGAGATATGAGTTAGCTTGTTGTTTAGGAATTTTGGAAATCTGTTCACCCCTTAATGTTGGGTCCCCTCATTCCTTAATATTTAAGAATCTATAGCACCATTTTTGGTAAATTTAAAAATTATTTTTCATTGTTTTCGGAAGTATTTCCTAAACATATAAAAAAAAAAATTAGAACAAAAAAAGAATGGGGGAGGGAAGATCAAACTGATGACCTTATCTAATACGTCGTAAAGCTCTAACCCCTTGCTAAATTATTTAGTTGGTAGCATGTAAGAAAATATTAATTTATAGATACAGAAACAACAATAATTAATTTAAAAATCATTTAAGAATGAAAAATTGCTCCTTTCGATTCAGTTTCACCATTTCTCTCCCAAAAATCCCAACCACTCGGTTTTCCGGCGAACTGAAGACGAAACCCTAAAATCTAATCTATTTCCTAAACTCCAAAATTCCGTCAACGGCGAAGAAGACATCAGCGACTGAGAAAGCGACATTGTCGAGGACGACAAATATTCAGTAAGATACTCCTCTCCGAAACTTCTCTTATCCCGACTAATGTAATAATCATAAAATCAATTTCTTTTGATTGTGATTTACTGTTTTTGAGTGATTTAGGATAGGCTTTTGTTTCTATTGTGGGGTTTGAACATAGATTTTGTTGGGGGAACCTTCAATTTCAACTTCTGAAGGTCATCCTAAGTTTTTTTATTAGACTATTTGTAGTGTTTCAAATTGTTAACCATTCTTGAGATTTGCTTGTTTAGGAAATCTTATGATGGTTTAAATAACTTAAAAGTGAAGTATTTTTTTAATGGTTTCTGAAAAGAGTCTCTTCTGAAAATTCAAGGAGGCTTTCATATCGTTTAGTAAGTGATTTGCGAAAAAATTCAAAGTGTTTAGGAAGGTCATTCTAACTTATTCCTTAGATGAGAAAACTAAGACAAACGGTTTCTTGCATCCATTGACAATTAGGTTCTTGGCTTTTAACTGCTGAAAGTGGACATCACACTGCCTAAACTTGTCTATGAAATGGGAAAGAAACCAGTAAATAGATTCTAGTCCATAGACAAGTACTCAGATTACAAATACATCGAGCTTGTTAATGAAATTCTCAGGCCTGTGAAGTATAAGAGAATTCAGGATTCTTTTTTTGGGTCTAGTTTTGGAGTTCTCTTCAAGAAAACTGAATATGGCAAGGAAGATGATCCACACCATTCTGACCAAGAGCCTAATAACCAAGAAGGACAAGGAGCTTTGGTTTCATTCTGGAGGACAGCGTATGAGATTCTCAATAAGAGAATTCATAAAATGCAGTGAATGGTTCCCCGAAGTTGAAGCAGAGGCAAACAACTATTACTGGGGTGAATGGGAGGATGGGCATACACCTGACAACTTAATCAAGCTCATGATCCAAGCTAGTCCAGACGCGCATGATGAGAAGTTCTGTCTAGCAATGTTGCTGCTTATCGAGGCCATCTTTCTTGATAGGTATTCAAAGGCTATGCTCCCAACATAAAATTTAGAGAAAGCGCAAGACATGTAAGTATTGCTGAATCATCATTGGGGCATAGATGCATACGACCTGCTGTTAGAATCTGTGAAGAAGAATGTGCCTACTAATCTAGAAAAGGCAAAGTATACTATAAACGGGTTCCCATTTGCGCTTCATCTGTAGATCTTGGAATCCGTATCCAAGTTACAATCGGTTTTCTCTACATTGACACCACAGTCCCACCAACAGAATTTTTGTGCGTGAAATACCTTCACACAATATCTTCTTCCATTAAAGCTGTGTTGAGCATAGAAGGCGAAAGCAATGTAAGTGCCTTCTTTTACATTACTAATATTTACGATGGTGTTTTAGAGTGTTGGCTTAATTTAGAAATTGTTAGTTTTCAGAAGATGTGTCAGTAATTTAGAAAGATTTTACTAAAATATCGTTATGCTATTTTTCTATGATGAAAAAATTGACATGTCTTTTTTGATTGTCCAGCTGATTGTGACACACATCCTTCCTAAGATACCTGGTGACCTCGAAGTCACCGTGCTTTTGGAAGACAATGACGATAAAGATCTGCAATCGCTTGTGAATCTGTTAAAGAATGGCTTCAGGCTAACATATGAAAACTGGAAAAGAGGGATTGTGGATAGAGACAATGCGTTGCAATATATTGCATCGCAGTCATTTCGAAAGACTACGACAAACCTCTAGACCTTCTTCTTCAGACGAGTCAGTAGAGGCTAAGCTGTGCAAGCTCATGAAGATGTTCATAGATGGACAGAGAAATATCAATTCTCGATTATCAAAGATTAAGCTAAAGATGGGAATATATGATCCTTCAAATGCAATTCATGAGGTAAAAAAAATAGGCTTATAGATTAAGTTTTTTCCGATTATATTAGAGATTTTTTTTAATAATTTCCCTAACAACGGGCTGTTATCGTTTTTTGGTTGAAAGAGGATATCTTTGATAGTCAGAATATATTTTCCATCACGCCACTCTTCAGTTCGGCAAGGATGCAGAGTTTCTAAAACCCCGTCAACACATGTGCACAGATCACCTAGTGTAGACATAACGGAGGAAGAACATTCAGTTCATACTGCTACTGCAACAGCAGAGGTTGGTGAGGAAAGTTGTGTGAATAAGTCACCCGAAGAAACATTGTCTGAGACACAAAGAGAAACGAGAAATATTTCGGCAGAGGAGATATATCTTCCAAAATTTATTCTCTTACATTTATATCGCCTGATCAAATATAGTTTCCAAATTTTTTCACTTACTTAAATGGAAAACTTGTTTCTAGTTAATCAGAAGAGTCGTAGACGAATTTAGGGACCCATAAGACGAAGCACAAACTGCTGAGGTAAGGAAACACTATTTTAAAATACTTCCTTTTACATTTAGTAACGAGGTAAGGACAATCTGGGTTCTTTTGAATTTTAGTATTTTAGAAAGGTCTCTCTGAATCTCTGTTAAACATTCCTAACATATATGTTGGACTTTCAGATACATACCCCGCCTGTGGCTCCAATGGCTACTTTCACGGAGCCAGCTAAAGAAACGGAACCAACACAGACGGATAAGGATGAGGAGACCTGATGACCTGAGCAAGATGCTGTTAGATTTCTGGATTCTTTGAATTTTTAATATTTTTAAGAATGTGTTCGCGAACCTCTTTTAAACGTTCCTAACACAAATGTTAGACTTTCAGGTACGTACCCCGCTTGTGGCTTCAATTGCTAGTTCCATGGAGCTCATGGAGCTGGCTACAGACACGGAACCAACACAGATGGATAAGGATGAGGAGACCCAACGACCTGAGCAACATGCTGTTAGATTTCTGGATTCCTTTGAATTTTTAATATGTTTAGGAATGTTTTCCTGAACCTCTATTAAATGTTCCTAACACAAATGTTGAACTTTCAGGTACGTACCCCGCATGTGTCTCCAATGGCTACATCCACGGAGGCGGCTACAGACACGGAACCTAAACCTCATTTAACGACTAGTGCTATTGTCAAGGTATCCGGTCCAGATGGCAAGTGGTTTCCCGCTATGTTGAAAAGAAAACATACATGTGTAGGTTATACTCGGTACTATTATGTAGAGTACTCGGCCACTAAGAAATCTGATAGCATCAGCGAGATGCTTATCTGTCCTCCAGCGCCTCCATTGCCTCAGGCAGAAAATTTCAACTCCGTTCTAGAACTACGACAAGACGTTGATGCCTTCCACACAGAGAGTGTATGTGCAAGCGCTTCTCGTGGGTTCAATGATTTCTGTCCACCTTGATCATATAGGGAAGAACCTTAAGTTCGAGGTTAAGGACGTACGGGTTCATAGAGAATGGGTGAACGGGCATGGGTTCCTCCTGCAGATTTTCAGGTACATCATTTTTGCCGCTGCGATGTGTAGACGTTTACTGTGATAAAACTTGTCCTTTTTGAAAACAATATAGGGAGTTGAATTTGAAGGCGCAAAGACGACTGACTTCCTCATCACAGTTGAGAACATTTCGGATCCAAAAGTAAAAGACCATTGAAAAACTCTGTTTCACCAAGTTTTTTTTGTATATAACTAGTATAAAAATTTCACATACCACATTTCTACAATACTGTATTCTTAATAAAGGTGAAAGGAAAGAAGGAGAAAGCGAAGATGAAGAAGAAAGCCAATGATAGGGATACCAATCTAGCTAAGAAAATGAGGAGTAAAAGGCTGGAGAAAATGCAGGGAGGTGAAGTTGAAGTCGCAGAGACGTCTGGTTTACCCACGGAAGGGAAAACAAAGAAGGAGAAAACGAAAAAGAAGAGAGCTAAAGATAGAGATACCAATCCGGCTAAGAAGATAAGACGTGAAGGGCTGGAGAAAACGCTGGGAGGTGAAGTTGAAGCCGCAAAGACGTCTGCTTTACCCAGTGAGTGGAAATCAAAGAAGGAGAAACCGAGAAAGAAGAGAGCCAATGATCCGGTTTTCAAGGAGGAGAACACAAGGCTCAAACGTATCTAAGATATAAGTATTCAGGATATATTTGAGCAAAATGTGACACTAAAAAAATATCAAGGATTCTGTTTTTTTTTTTTTTTTGTGTGTTAGTTGGCTTATGTGAAAATGGGTGATGTTTTTAACTGTGCTTTTGGAAGTGTTCGTTTGCAAACATGGTATGTATCATTGGTTAGAAAATGGTTACTTTTGTTTATTTTAGAAATAAATTCTACCTATTTTCGGATGGCTTTCCTAAAAAAGAACAAATTATATCAAAAAGCATTGAAACTTCTGGCCTTATCTTTCATTCATAGCATAATTGTTTTACATGACAAAATACAAGTATGTAATTCATGGTTTGTAAAAGTAACTTTTTGTTTAGGAATCATTTCTACCTATTTTGGAAAAAAAATCTAAGGAAAGAACAAATTAGATAAAAAAAATTAGAGCTTTTTCGTTAATATCAAAATTCTTCTGATTACAAAGTACAGGTTGTCAAATTAGATAAAAAATGTGACAACTATAAGGTGCTTAAGAGCAAGCGGAATCACTCCCAAAAATAACTTGCGACGTTATCTATTATATTAAAAACTACCGTTCTTCTTATCTATCGAGGAATCAGTTGTACTTATTTCGGAATGCGTTCTGAAAATGCATAAAAATAAACCCATAAGAAAAAAAGTATAACAAGGAAATCGAACTAGTAACCTTATCTAATGGGGAGCATTGCTTTAACCGATAGGCCGACTTAGTTCGTTGGCAAATAGAAGATGGTATTTGTCTATATGCGTCGAAAAGATTTGGGTCCGGAAAATAAAGAAAAAACAAATTCCTAAGTGTTTTGTGGAAATCCGGGTATCGAACTGATTACTTTCTGCAAATCCTTAGATCTACAACAAAAACAGTTTTGTGTCGGCGGCGATGAAGAAGGACTTTTACACGTCTTAACTCAATCTCTCTCTAATCAAATATGGTATAGAAGAAGTTTTATCAATCCATCCATGAGCTAGAATAAAAGAGATGCAAGATACTGACTAAGCTTAACCAATTATGATAAAGATAAGATTATCTAAGTGATCAAAGATGAAATACTTGCACAAAAGAGAAAACTAGCAAGACTAAAGCAAAGTATGAAATGCAAATAAGCTAAATGCAACAGGAATCAAAGAAAGCAAGAGTCAAATGGAGATGCAAGATGAGAGAATGAAAGCTAAATGCAATAACTTAAAATGCAAGGCAAAGATATGAGACTAAATACAATTTAAATGAGGCAAAGCAAAGCAACTAAGAACATAGAAAAACTGAGCACAAAATGATCAAAATGCAAAGAACAATAAGGCGCAGGTTCAAGGCTAGAGCAATGATGACTTGGGGATTACTTAGTATCAAACCTAGGAAAGTCAAGAATAATGACAAGCTAAGAACATGATCAAGCCATTAATTCAATCAATCTGCAAACAGAGAAGAGATGACTAAGTTAAGCACATGTCAGACCCACTTGTGATGGCGTATTTGTGCAAAACCAGCATGAAAACACAAGACTCTTAAAGACCAAACAAACAATCTAAATGCAATATAATCATCCAGGCGATTGTTTCTAGCAAAGTACTTTCAGACATTTAAACAAACACTTTTGGTGCAGCAAACACCTAAGATCAGTTTCACACTAAAAGAGTTACTAAGCACTAAGATCAACTAAGCTAAGTGATTCAAACAAGAATTAAACCAAAACTCCCTAAGTTATCAACCAATCATCTCCAAATCTGCTTTAACCTCAAACCATATGAAACTACTCACAACACATCATAAAATCAACAGAAACAAGCAGAGATGTCAAATCAAACATGATAAAAAAAGAACTAGAAGGAAAACGATAAAGGAAGTGCAAAACTTTGTTAAAAAGATGATCTTGATCAAAATCCCATAAAAATCTCTTTGTGGTTTCCCACAAGGTCCGAAAATAGGATAAGGAAGAAGATAAGTCCTAAAAAAGTTAAGCCAAAGGCTTATAAAGATGAAAGGATAAGGTTTCGTCAAAAGCAGAAAAAGTTGGTCACCAGCGCGGATAAAGCATATCGAGCAGTACGGAAGGTGTTTTGCTCGATGCAGTTGGCCGGTGCTGTCTATACCTGTTGCTTCAGGCAGCTTTTGTCGGCTCAACACGCACCGGGCAGGCTTGCCTGGGTTTTGCTCGATGTGCTTGCCCGATACAATAGTCTGGTGAACTCTGCGAAACTGAAATTGCTCTATCTCTTGAACTCCAGATCCAAATGACAATGATTCTACCACCATTGGAAAGATATTCCGATCCTCTACAATTTTCATGAAGAACCTGAAGCCTGAATCTGAGTGGAGGGGCTTCGGCCGGACCGATCTATAATTCGTATCCTGTTGAACCGAGCAAAGACCTTGATGTGGGACCTCGGTGTAGCTTCTAAACAGCCTGAATTCATTATTATTGCATATTTCTTTGACTCCAGATGATCCTCCATCCTCCAATAAATATCCTTCGCCTAAAAAACACATGAAATACACCTCAAACATGCAAATGTATATATTCTTAATCTAAATGCATGCATGGCTACTTCTATATGAAAATGAGACTAAAATGATAAAAAATAATGCAAGAACACGAGAATATATGTATAAAATGCATCCTAAAACACTACAATATAGCAAGCTATCAACACCCCCACACTTAGTCTTTGCTTGCGCTCAAGCAAACATGACATTTAGCATGGTGATGAGGTTTTAAAAAGGGAACTCATATCTTGAAATGCTAACAATAAATCAAAATGATGTCCATGTTTCTAGTGCTAGAATGCAAATGATATAACTGTACTCTAAAACTTAGCCACACTCATCACAAAATGAAAATGATTCTCAAGTTATCAATCTACACAAGCTCTCAAATCACTTAACCCTTTTAACATTCATTAAACAAGTAACCAATGGATCAAGTTTGTGAAAAATCAAGTGAAAGCATTTGGTTCAAGGGACATGATTATGAGATAAAAATGATCTCGTTCATCAATGGCTCAAAGAAACATGGGATCTCTCATATGAAATGAATCTATCTTAAACAAAATGCTAAAGGTAAAAGCACTCTTATGCATGCAAGTAAAAGCTCTCTTCTAACCTTTTCACAAAGATGATCCTAATTAAATTTCAGTCCCAAGATATACCCCTAAATCTACCATTCCCAAAGCTCTTTTGATGTTTTTGTTCTTGAAATGTGGGGGACTTCTTCTTTTTTTACTTGTGTGGCTGACTTCTTTTAGAACTTGCTCTTCTTTGTTGTATAGGCGCCAATTTTCATCACCTTTTTGGTAGATTTCTTGGTCTGATTTTTCTCCTTTTGGATGACCATTGTAAGTTTGTTGTTGCTGGCGCCTTTTCTTCTTTGTAACTTAGAGCTTTCTTCTTTTTTACTTAACCACAAGATACCATAATCTTTCCCACAATGTCATCTTCTTCATACTCCCACTCCCACTTTTCTTAACTTCTCAAAACAAGTAAATAATCAATACTCAAACCACTTAACTTTACTCCTTTTCCCCAAAACTCCTAACGTAGTATCAAACTCAAAATGCAAGTTAATGTCTACAAGAGAGCTCCTCCTTGCCAGCCTTAATCATATCGCTTTTTGCCAAGATAAATTCGAAAATGATAATGCAAGGCTTCACACACTCTCACAATAGTGTTTGGGTTTCGAAAGAAGGATTGGTTCAAAGTATGATTAACTGTCCCTTAATGATGAAAATCATCTATTTAGATCAATAAAAGTGGTGAAAAAGAAGAGGGTTGACTGTCTAAATCCCCCTCTAAAATACTGTTTTTGCCTTAATCCACCCAAACTTTTTACCTCTTAATTTTTCCCCAAAAAGTCATACATTTAATTGTGTTCCTCCCTAAACTTTTTTTTTGCTACCCAATTCCACCTGGAACGTTAATTTTTTTTTAAATTGCGATCAGATCTACAAAATCACGATTATAAAATTGCGATTGCCCGGTTTTTGATTTTACCCAACCTAAATCTGATAAATAAATAAAAAACCCAACCCAATCCAAATCTGATAAACCAAAAAAAAACTAACCCGACATAGCAAAAAGAAATCGAACGATTCCTGAGTGAATTTGAATTGATTAGCAAACATAGTTAAAAAAAGATCTCAAGAATCCGAATCAAATTTCTGTGAGCTTTGTTGATTCGGTTGAAACATAGAGGGAGAAAGAGAAGGAGAATCGCGATTTGATTGTCATTTGATGCCGTGGAATTCTGTAATCAGATTCAAAATTGAGTTCCTTGTTTTCGCAATCGTATTTCTGTAATTCGTAAAAAAAATGCGTGTTCGCTTGATTTGCATATTTGTTATTTGGCAACATAAGTCAGAACAATCGAGTTCTCCTTGTTCGAGAAAAAAAGTTGTCTATGAGATTGATGTCTGAGAAATTAAACAATTCTGATTATTCGTTGTTTTGTTTCCTTGTTGTGCGTGTGTGTTTTTGTTCTTTTCATATTTGAAATCGATGAAACTCGTGTTGGTTTAATTCAGACTTAGTTTTTTAAGTACTTTGGTTAGGAGTTTTTTTTGTTTATTTCTTCTGTTTGCTTTATCTCTCATTTTTGGATTATTTCATTGAGAATTTTTGAGTTTACAGTCTATATTCTTGTTCAATCTCGAGCCTTTCATCTCTAATTGCCCTAGCTTTCCAGCCACCACCATCACCCTCTCTCTGCATTCTGATTTCCTTCTCTCTCGTCCCAAGCTCCGCCCTCGTCTCCTCCATCTCTCCCTTCCCCGCCTTCACTTCCCTATCGCACACCTCTCTCTCTCCGCCTTCGCCGCATCGTACTCCCCGAAGTACTCCACTGCCTCCTCCAGCTTCTCCATCGCTTTCTTCAGCCATGACACTTGGATTTTCACTGACTCCATGTCCTTCACCACCGCTGCCATCTCCGCCACTCTCTTTTTTTCAGCCACGACACTGGGTTTTTTTTCTTTTGGTTTATCAGATTTGGGTCGGGTTGGGTATTTTTTTGGTTTATCAGATTTAAGTTGGATAAAATCATGAACCAGACAATAGCAATTTTATAATCGCAATTTTGTAAATCTGATCGCAATTTAGAAAA